CTTTGTGACGACGATAGTGAATCGTTTCAACTTTTTTTACTTCAGATATTTCAAATCCCCATTTCTTTGCTCTTCGGCCTCTCATCATTCTTCGTCTCTTTTTATGTCTTGGTCTAAATCTCCTTTTTCGTCTTCTTGCTCTCTTTTTTTCCCAAGAATTCACCTTAAATAAGTTCATGGCAATTTCATCAAGTTCTTGATCCTCATCAAAATCTGCTCTTACAATTTCCATAAGCTCTTTGCTAGTTAGTTCTGCAAAGAAAGGGTATGGATTTATTGACGAGAGTGTTTTGTAGAATGTCTGGTTTTGTCGACGCAAATGCATTAAAAGTATTTCAAGAATGTGTTAGAAGTGTTTCATTGAGATTTGAAACGTGATAAAATAATGTCGATTTTTATAGGCTTCAGGGCTAACAATTTAAAGTGAGCTTAAAACTATACATACTTCTCAGACGTTTCCGCACATTTATCGTTTCTGTGTCGTTTATATCCAAGTACTCCAATTTTACACCTCCCGGTAATTTCGCGTTGTCAAGCAAATCTCTTGGTAGGAGGCCATCAGTGCCTGGAAGTACTTCGGTCAAATTATAGAAGAAGACATTTCTATGGTCTGGACTCTTTTGCTGCCAGTCATCCCAAAGCTATTACAAGTGAACAAATGAATAGTCGTGAAAAAAATCATCAAAATAATATTATGTGGATATTCAATTCCTCGTACACTTGATATCTTCGAATTTTCTGGAAATCAGTTTCTTTATCAAAGTCATTAGATATTTGGAGATGTTTATTAGAGCTATGTGAAAACATTTGTATAGATAAGAACAGACCTCATCTTCCACTGGTGTGATGATATTATCATCTTTACAGTCGAAAACACGATCATAATTCCAGTTGTCAAAAGAGAACAGCCATCTAGCCTTACCTTGTCAATGAAGGTATGATGCAAGAAAAACTCTGGTGCTGATGCTGAGTCAAGAGAACACATTGTACCACCAATGACACAGTGCACTCGGTCATGCATTACAATACGAAGTTCTACCTCAAAGTCAGTAAAGTTTTTTGCAGGAGTCTTAAGCATTTCCTCTACGGCCACAATATCTGGTGGGTTTCCACGAAAATATCTTTGAATACATCCCCTCTGATTTGATGAAGGCGGTTGCCATTTTAAATCTTTGGAGAATGGGCCGCTTGGTACACAATAACCGAGTGCCCTCACTCCATTTCCTCCAAACCCAGTATAAGTCCCATTATTCCAAAGTTCTTCAATCCAAGGATCGCCAGAGCACACACTCCAATCCCAGTAYGGAAGAGTGACACGGCAATCAATTTTTCGGAGTAAGTTTTCTATCTGAAGAAGAAACCATCKGTGCCATGGTAGGAAATGGATTTGCTGATGAATCGTGGTCATGAATCTGGATTTGTGACTGGCAATGAGGTCACTAAACTGTTTGTTGTATTTGCTATGAACATGTATACATTTTGTGTAAGTACATAAAAGTTTGAAATATGCATTGTTAAAATTAATATTACAATGAAAAGTAAAAAAGAATTATGAAAAGGTTGTCAAGAACTTTTTTTATCCCCTTTATCCCGTATCCTTACTTCATATTTTCAATTCCGTTTATTTCCTTTTTTAAACATTAAAATGTTTTAATTTGTTTATTATCTCATTCTTTCCTCGCATTATTTAGGTTTTAAACATGATAAAAGAATTCATTTTTTCTCCTGAAAAGAGGCAAGCATTGTGATTTTCAAGATCATATTTGTTGAAAGAACTAATCAGTTTGGGAACATCTAACATTCTGTGACAATGCGAGATATCATTGAGGCATCGGTAGAATCAATGAAAGGATGCAATGGATTCATACTTGCTCGGTCTTGACAGCTCTCTATATGCTTTGATATATCGTTTCTTTTCACTTCTTGTCATTGTGGTGAACTCTTTTCTTTGGCGAAAGCAATCCCATTTKCTGCCATCGGAAGAACATCTGCATAGCCGATTGCATCTGTCCTTTCTCTTTGATTTAGGAAAGCATCTATGGCGGACTTTAAAAGAGAGCAAAAATAAATTATGGCGATTTGACATTATCATTTATTAAATGTGACTGAATCCCTTTCTATGTGCCGTAAGTTCATTTTACTCACTCCTCGTCTTGTGAACAATTGTAGTATGGGTCTTTGTGTTGGTGTTGGACATTCCTTGCACGCCTCCCCCGTACACAAATGGTGCAGATGTAGTAGGGTCTTCACCTGGTAATCAAATTAAAAGTCAAGTATATAATATAATGCAGTTATACTAAAACTGTATTGTTATATAGGAATTTTGTTTTCTCTTGATATGGCCATCTTGGTTTAGAAAATGCGAAAACTGACACATACCGGTGTAAATGCTCGTGCATTCCAATATGGAGCCCAAAGACATAAGCAATGCAATCCATCTGATTGCGCACGACATCGCAGCTGAAAAAAAAACCTTTTTAGAAAAAAAACAAACACCAAAAATGCAYTAGAAATTCAAAATAAAACAATCAAAGAAAGTCAAAAAACATAACATTCATATTTAAGAAGTAAATAAGTAGCATTTGCAAATAAGCTTAATCTTTCAAAGAAGAAGAAGAACAAAAAAAACATATGCATGATAGATTGATCTCTTTCGACTTCGCTTTCTTAAGACAAATGGTCTTCTTGTAAGTCACTCTTAAATTGCCAAGGCAATTTGCTGTAATCATTTCTCTTGGACCTGTATCCAATAGTTACCATTGACAGCAAATTGTATTCCAATAAATTATCACCACTTAATTACTTCTAGCAAATTGACTACTGCCAGATTCTTTGATGGATGTGATAATTGGAGGTTTTGTAAAATTATTCAAACTTTAACCGGGTCGAGCCCTAAATGTTTTTGGTGAACACTTCATGGAGTTGCTTTGGAGACTATTTCTTCAAATCAAAAGAGATGCGAATCGATGTTTGGAGCGTGATGGGAAATTCGCGTAAATGGGTTATAATAATGATCAATATCGATGTTTGGTCATGGAATCGTGCTACCTGTAATTGAGCGGAATAATTCTTCAGGTGAATCGAAGATATCTTCAAATTTTATTGCATTGAAAAGTAATTTAACAACATGTAGGGATTTCACCGCTTTATTTTTTCTTCTCTATTTCTGCAGAACTAGTCTAGCTTTTCTGATCTTAAAAACTTTCGCTTTGTCTCAGTTTTCAATACTTTTTTATTTACACTACTGAAAGATATAGAAAAAGGATGAGACAAAATATTAATAAGAATTGAAAATAGAAAAAATCAATGATAATAATTGATAATATAATAATTTCCTTTTTTCTTTTCTTTTTTTCCTGAAATATACATTTTGAAACATTTAAACTTACCTTCGGCCCCTTTAAAAAGGCCAGTCGATGTCGTCGAGTCGAAAGCACACTTTGTTTGAATGTGTGCTCAGAATGACTTCAACTATGTACTCTGCCGTTCTTATATAATTGCAAAAAATGACGTCTGGAAACTCATAAACGTGACTTGCGACACTCACTACAGTAATGGGGAAAGACTTGCCGTTTACATTTCCATGGCGACACATCACGTGGGGTCATTTGTGAAATGCACTGTTCCGAACAAATGTGCATAATTGACTATGGGAATAAAAGTAAGTAATGTGTTGATATAGTCCAGAAATCCAGAAAGAATATGACAAACTTTCAAAATCATAGACTTACGAAGTTTAACAAAAGTACAAAATGGTATAGGATGGAAATTGAAATAATTACACAGAAATGTATGTGATCATTTCTCTTAGCCCCATAGAAACAATGCAGGACAATTTCACCATAGCTATTTGATTTATAGGACAATTTGAAAAACTATTAGGAAAAAAATGTAAGAAAATTACACTTTTACAACTTTGCGAAATCAAAAAGAGATATATTGCGACTTCTAGTGTATATTTTTCTTTTGATTAAAAAAATAATAGATTGCAATGGATGTATTAAAATATTGTCTCTTGCGCTGTTTTCAATTGGCGAAGTAATGTTTTACGAATACTGCAGAATGAAACTGCATTACAATAAAGATGTAGTAGTTACATAGTTATTACAATAATCAACTCGGTAGTGACAGTGGTAAATATATCAGCCAAAACTTGAAATCATTATGAAATCCCATGAAAACTTCAATAGTATATAACGGTACGGCACAATCACGATTATAACGGTAAAACTCCGCGGTTACCAAAACGCAGTAGAATAAAATAAACCGTGAAAACACTAAAACCGTGAAAACACTAAAACCGTGAAAACGCTAAAACCGTGAAAAGGAACAAACTAAATAGTACTAAACAGCGTTATAGTGTTAACCTAACAATGTAGAACAAAGAAATTTGCATAATTAAGTTCAGATAGCACTATTATTTGATTAAAGTTTAAAGTCATAATTTTAGTGTTTGCACTCCCAGCGGAGGGAAAATAGCAATTTTCCTTTTTATGAAACCGAATTATTCCTATGACGCACCGGTTGGCTGTTGACAGTATTTATATCTTTATTCAAAGACCCTCCTGCCTATCGTTTCTTTTTAAACGCAAAAAAAATCTCTGTCCAGCACGATCTCACTTTTAAAAATTCCGCCGGCTAATTTATGTATTTTATACATAATATTTAACAATTAGACCTCGAGGTCGAGTGGACTACGAGCTAATATAGCCCATGAGGCCGAGTCCGCGAGGCCGAATGGGCTATTAGCTCGTAGTCCACGAGGCCGAGAGGTCTAATTGTTTTAGTATAAACATACTAATCGGTCAAATAATGAAAACAAATTGAAATATCCTTAAAATAATTTATAACTTATTTATTATGATTTTCCCGCGAGTGGTCTATCACAAATTAGACCATTCAACGTTTTGATTTTAAGGTTTCACGTGCCATTTTGTATCCCATCTATAATGCTGTTMATTTTCATGGGAGTTTTTGAAGCGTTATTGAAGAATTCACTTTTAAACAATTGATATGTAATTGCTGTATTAGTGTACAGACTGATAAATCATCAATTTTATATTAATATTGCTCTTTGTTTGTTCCATGGTTTCGGTTGAAAGTACTTTTTTTACATTTAACCATGACAACTGCTATCAGACATTGATCATGAAAGAAATCGTAAGACTTATAATTCATTAAGCCGAACACTAAGCAACACATGTTTACTAAAAAATATATACTTAAATAATATGCAAATAACCCCGAAAACGTTGTCTACTAAGGATATTCCCCTGCAGCTATTACCAAAAACTACCAACTATCCTCGTTTTGGTGCTGTAGGTGAATAGACATATCGGATATATGTTTTCACTTCATTGCTCTTTTTCTGTGGATTTTAACTAATGTCCTCACAAGAGAGGCTAATCATACCACCCGGAAATTTAATTACTCCACTTAATCTTTATTCATTGCTCTTATATTATTATTATTTTATGACAATTTTCCATAAAATGTTTACTATATAGCCAGAAGTATCCCCGTACTGTGTACCAACCCTAATGCACTCTAGTTTTACATAAGATACATTTTGACAAGAAAGCTATCAAT